TGGGGACATCACTATCTAACAACATAATAAATTAACAACATTTCTATTACTCATTAGTCATTAATTCATAAATGGACTATATTATAATGCTTCAGATCACCAAAAATGTGATGCATGATGTATTCAAATGTCTGCTGACTTAGGAACTTAAACTACATAAGTAGACAATACCTTCTTCAAAATCAAGTTGGGAAAAGGATGCATTAAATATATCATCAGAACTTACTGATGCTATCAAAAGAAGATTTAATAGGTGTTTTAAAAACGCATACAGGTAATACAGCAAATATTTTGTTGTGGCAATTTGCTAGCTGCTATTGCAATTTATATAAAATTAGCTTTGACATTGTTGTTATTGCATGAACCAAAGTCCAAAGAGACAAATATAACAGCATTCAACACTGAACAGATTTATATAACAATATATATCGCTATTTACATCATATAAAATAATGTAAATAATATTTAACTAAAATTCTTTCGTTTATAATATCAATTCTATTATAACACAGGTATATCATATTAAAAATGACTCAAATAACGGGCCATTCCATTTAATATACACACCCCCCTATGGATGAGGTTTTCTGAGGGGTTGTCTGAAGGGTCATCTCTAATTTACTAAAATTTCTTGACATTTATAACATCGAATAAAAGTTTATCCGAAGGGTTGTCTAAAATATGAAAAATTCTGAACAGCATGCTATTGGAGATGAGGTTTTCTGAGGGATCACCTGAATTTTAAAAAAATTCTTAGGGTTTGTCCACCAGGACGACGAATTTCTGGGTTATCGTGCACATCTAAACAATCAAACGTATTATTAAAAAATACCAGGTATTAAACGTGTCAAAAACACAAATAGATGGCTTTATTCTATATTCGCCAGAGGTTGAAAGCTTTGTTTCTGAGGGGCATGTATTACCCCCCTGTATTACCCGCTTGCTGTATTACCATTTTTACGGTTTTAAAACGTAGAAAAAGACAGCCAATGAGATTAGAAATTCATCATTTGAAACGCCATCAAAAACGTCGAGCGCGAATCCAGCATCGTCTCATTCAAGATTTGAAAAAAAATGCAAAAACTTTTCGTATTTTTCTCTCATTACAAATTTGTTTTGTACGTTAAAATATTGTTAGTATATAGTAAAAGTATCGTAGATTTTATTTCCTTGATTAGTTTAGCGTAGATGTAAAGATATTTGAAGTATTTTGGATTGTTTGAAAGTATATGTATCGTTAGTTTGATTGAATTTGCCTACCTTAGGAAATAATACAACTATACAATGCCTCGCCCGCGCGCAGGCAGGCAACCATAACATTGGGCTGCCTATGGTTGTATAAACAAAGTAAAAGTTTGTGTTTAAATTAAAAACAATTTTTTCAAGCATATTATCGTGACACGACAAGAAAAAATACAAAAATATAAAAACAACATACCCTTTTCATTGACCTTTTAGTAGAAAAACGTTGATTAAATCAAAACAGATTCATTTTTATATATTTTTGATCTGATCTGAACATGAACTTGTCGTTGTCAGGAGCAACTGATTTTGTCAAAGCCAAAGCGCCAGGCATAAAAGTTTTTATTCCAAAGCTTCTCTTCTATACCATATTCATGAAAAAGCATGTACATTTTTACTGAAACTATACGTCTTTTTGTGTGTTTCTTGCCAGTTTTCTTGAGTTTTCGTATCGTGTTTTATATCATTCAACTTTTCAAATTTCAATTTTTGTCAGCCTCGCTTTGAAAATACACAACTGCACTGATCTCAAATTAGTTCGCAAGTAACACTGGAATTTTAATCAATTTAATTTTTACATCTGATAAAAAATAAACACGTTATTTACCGGCAGCGTCGGTCCGGATGAGAAAAACTGTGCCCGAGGTCTTGAAAACGGCCTGAGCCCTTCTCGGGCACAGTTTTTCTCATCCGGACCTCGCAGCCGGTAAATAACATATATTTATTTTTTATCAGTGAAAATGAAGCAATCTGATTGGCTGAGAGCCTTTCAGAGCGGGCCGGTTTTTTGCATCCGGCCCGCTCTGAAACGCAACTGCCCGCTGTGAAATTCAACTGCCCGTTCTGGATTTCGCGCCAAAAACCGAGGAGTGAAACAATTTTTAAACGAAAAAATCTGCCAAAAACGTTTGAAAAACATAGCCTAATGATAGTCAGAATACAAAAATGAATTGCATCAAGCCATAAAGATATCATACTAAGCACGATGTTCACCAGAATTGACAATATTTTGATAGAAATGTGACTGAAAGTTGGAAAGTTTATATTTGACATGAATAAAACTTACGTCGAGAAAACTATATATTTATTCATGTATTCGGCCACTTAAAGGCGAAAAAATTACAGCTTAAACTGAAATTATAAAATAAATGTTTTCCCATTTAAAAGAAGGTTTAACTGCAGCAGTAAAAACAAGTCACGAATATATTCTCTACCATTTGTGTCATGCATTTTTCACTGATATAAATAATATTGTAGACAAAGTAAAAGTTTGTGTTTAAAAACACTTTTTTCAAGCATATTATCCTGAGACGAGAAGAAAAAATACAAAAATATAAAAACAACATACCTTTTTCATTGTCCTTTTAGTAAAAAAACGATGATTAAATCAAAACATATTCATTTTTATATGTTTTTGATCGGTACTGAACATGAACCTGTCGTTGTCAGGACTCAGGAGCAACTGATTTTGTCAAAGCCAAAGCCAAAACGCCAGGCATAAAAGTTTTTATTCCAAAGCTTCCCTGCTATCATATTTATGAAAGAAATTTGTGTGTTTCTTGCCAATTTTCTCGAGTTTTCGTATTCGTGTTTTATATCTTTCAACTTTTCAATTTTTGTCAGCTTCGCTTTGAAAATTAGTGATGGGCGATTACCGATTACTTGGTATCGATACCACCCGATACCAGGCCCAAATCGGAAGTAGTCGATACTGCACAGTATCGAAAAAGTGTTTCGATTACTTTTAAAATTAGACATTTATTATAATTCTGTGGTTGTGTCATCGTTTTCATGGCTATTTCTAATAAAATATATGTACTTTTTTGTATTTTGTTGCATTTATCAACTTAACCAAACTTCCTTTACTTTATTTGACATTCTATCCACTTCCCTGATTAATATTCATAACCTCGTCGACAGAATAAATTTTGAAAAAGGCGGGAAATAAATTAATTTTTGTTTTTTCATGGATTATAATTGCGGAAAATTCTGAAAACAATCGTCGTCGTAGTAATCGTTTGGGTAATCGATACCTCGATACTTTAACCAAAAAGTAATCGGTATCGTATCGAATCCGATACTGGTGGTATCGCCCATCACTATTGAAAATACACAACTGCACTGATCTCAAATTAGTTCGCAGGCAACACTGGAATTTTAATGAATTTAATTTTTACATCTGATAAAAAATAAACACGTTATTTACCGGCAGCGTCGGTCCGGATGAGAAAAACTGTGCCCTCGGTCTTGAAAACGTCCCTCGCACTTCGGGCTCGGGCCGTTTTCAAGACCTCGGGCACAGTTCGGGCTCGGACCGTTTTCAAGACCTCGGGCACAGTTTTTCTCATCCGGACCTCGCAGCCGGTAAATAACATATATATATTTATATATTCTCCGTCCTGTTTGATCAGGTGGGTTTTTACCTCACACAAATTTGTATTGAATTAGGAGGTTATTTTAAAACGGTATTTTGAAACAATAGCCAATGAATTGAAGTGATTTAGCATATGCGCACGCAAATGTACAATGTGTTTTAAACAATATTTAAGTTATGTGTATTTATTCGTTAATATTGCAAGGTTTCATCTTTATTCCGTGATTTTATTTTGTTGTTTTTACCAGGGAAACCGGGGAAAACCCACAGGGAAAATCCATTTTTCCTGTTGACGTGCGCATGCGTATTTGCCACCAAAACAATGGTGGTTCGAATAATTCGAAGCGGGAAAATATCAAACTTTGAAGGAATATTTTTTCCAATTGTGCACCTGTTTCGCTTGGGGAGCAACGGATTCTGATAAAGTAAGTTTTTATCTATTGATTCATGTTAAAATTATGTAGTTCCACGAGGGGTGCAACGCAATCCGTTTTCTAAGCATCTTTTGGATGCTCATCCTACGGCCTAAAGTGTGCGTGCGACCTTTCATTGTAGATCGAATAGGCATGCGTAATAAAACATAAGACAAAAGGAAAATAATTAATGAGGAATGTGATACTTGAGTAGCGACATATGAATATTCCTCATTAATTATTTTCCTTTTGTCTTATGTCTTATTACGCATGCCTATTCGATCTACAATGAAAGGTGATAGCTTTTCGAGCGCGCACACTTGGGGGAAATGTTCATTCGTGACTGAAATTATTCAACATGTTGAATATTCGGTGCCGATGGCACGCGTGGCTGAAATCGTTCAAAACGCCGCCGCACACTGGGGGAACTTGCTTACGCCAACAGTCACGAGTGACGCTCAGCTCAGTTGATATCTCCAGTGTGCGCCAGGCTTAACATTACATGGTGTCAGGTGAAAAATTTTCGACATGGAATTTAGTTTTTCGGGAAAAGGTCCAGGTGAAATGAATTTTGCAGCAACAAATGTTGCAGAGACGTGGCGAAGATGGAGACAGAACATGCAGTTTTATATAAACGCGACAATGGAAAAAAAAAACGAGAAAGAAAGGTATTCGTTTTTCTAATTGTTCTCGATCGGCGAGGCTGGACAAGGAATATTTAATACTTTGATCTGGCCAAACGTTGTAGATGATAAGGGCAAACCTACAGACGAAGACGAGATAACAGTAGCGGCTCTATTCAAGAAATTCGAGGACTATTGTAAACCCAAACGAAGCCTGTTTAATTGTACAACGGCACAAATTTAATACAAGACGGCAAAACCCGGGAGAACCAGTCGACCATTAAGCCCGCCGCACACGAGAGAAACTTGCTGAGCTAACCGCCTCGCGTGGCAGCATACTGTACTGTATGGTAAAGTTCGTGTTAAGTTAGACACGGGAGCAGAGGTCAATGTAATGCCTTTCAGGGTATATCAACAGTTGGTAGCAGGTAAAGAAATATCAAGACTGATGCTGAAATCAAAACGACCACGACTGCTAAATTGACGGGATACGGAGGAGCTGAAATACCTGTCAAAGGAACATGCGTGTTGCCATGCTCGTGCCAGACGCAAGAAATAGTGACGGAGCTCTCTACATTGTCGAAACTGATAACAGAACAGTTCTCAGTTTCGATCGGAAACATGCAAGCAACTAAATCTCATGAAGGTTATGCACAGCCTGAAGTCGGACAACTTGGTCAGCGGTTGTTCAACGGAGCAGATTAAAGAAAATTACAATAAAGTTTTTCACGAACTTGGGAAACTACATGAGTGTTATCGAATGCAGTTGGATCCCCATTGAAGCAGTTCAAGTCACTCAAGCCCCAAGAAAGATTCCAGCCATGTTACGTGGTAAGATGAAACAAGAACTCGATCGCATGGAAAAAGAACAAGTCATTGTTAAAGTGGACAAGCCTACAGTTTGGGTACATAATCCTGTGATCGTCGAGAAGCCCAATGGGAAGCTTAGAGTCTGTTTGGACCCACGAAAGCTCAACAAATATCTAAAAAGAGAACAGTACCAGTTACCAACGTGGGAAGAAATTCCAAGCAGATTGCATTGCGCAAGATTTTTCAGCACTTTAGATGCTAATCAGGGGTATTGGCAGATACCTCTGGAAGATGAATACTCAATACCCCGTTTGGGCGATACCGATTCCTGAGGATGCCTTTTGGTATCCATTCAGCACAAGAAGTATTTCACAAGAGAATCAACCGTCTATTCGAAGATCTAGAAGGAGTCGAGACTGACATAGATGACATATTGGTTTGGCGAAACACAATCGAAGAGCATGATCAGAGATTACAAGATACCATAGGCCAAACCAAGATGATCGGAATGACCCTCAACCCTGACAAGTTTCGTGTAACGGAGGTAACCTACCTCGGACACAAACTAACGGGAGAGGGAGTACAACCAAATCACAGAGTAGATACATATACAGAGCTGTAACTGACCGTTGTAAACACTGCGGAAGCTTACGTTTTCATGTACCCACTTTTTTTTCAGGCGACCGGGCAAAAAATTATCAACTGCGCGTGCTCGGCAAGTTCCGCGAGCAGTTAAAGCGAGTCGTCATCCAATCAGATGCATGCATCTGGTAACTTGTCGAGCATGCGCACATCCACTCTGTGACCAGATCAGACGAAGATCGAGGCCATCATCAACATGCCAGCGCCGCAAGACAAACTAGGAGTGCAGAGACTACTTGGAATGGTGAACTACTTAGCAAAGTTTATTCCAGGAATGTCCGAGATTACGGCACCGTTGGGGGGAGCTTGTGAAGAAACACGTTCCTTGGCACTGGACGGCGAATCATGAAGCTGCATTTGAAAAAATAGAAGAAACCCTTTCAACCGATCGCGTTCTGAGATACTATGACGTCACGAAGCCAGTTGTACTGCAAACGGATGCCTCAAGTACAGGTCTTGGTGCAGTATTGCTGCAAGATGGGTTCCCTGTTGCCTATGCCTCCAGAACGGTGACAACGACACAACCTGATCTACAAACCAAGAAAGCTTCTCAAGGTCGCAGACACTCTGTCAAAAACCCAGTTGGCTGAAACTGCAGAAGAAATCAGCGAACAAGATATGAAATCCCAAGTTCATCTCTTATGCGAATCTACCATGTTCCAGTGAAATCCTTGAGGAACTGCGCCAAGAAACAGCTCGAGATCCTGTTTCACAGAAGATTATCCAAATGCTTCGAGTGGGATGGCCGCAGACGAAGAAAGCTTTGCCTAAGGATCTAAAAGAATACTTGAAGCACAAATTAAAACTTAGTGAAAACCAAGGAATCATTCTCAAAGATCGGAGAATACGAATACCACTAGCCTTGAGAAAAAAGATTGTGGACAAATTGCACCAGGGTCATCAAGGTATTGAAAAGACGAAGCAACGGGCGAGACAATCAGTTTTTTGGCCACGAATTAATAAAAACTTTGAAGATTTGGTATCAAAGTGTTCTCATTGTCAAGAACTAAGAAATGCTAATCCAAAGGAAGTTGGAACCGCTAATCCCGCATGCAGTTTCACTGTATCCATGGCAAGTTGTCGGAACGGATATATTTCTTTGGCAAGACAAGGACTATCTATTGGTGGTGGACTACTACAGTCGATGTTGGGAAGTGGTCAGACTCAGAAGTATGAAAGCAGATTATGTCATAGCTGAGTTGAGAAAGATATTTTCACGTTATGGAATTCCAGAAGTAATGATGTCAGACAATGGTCCACAATATGCTTCACGAGAGTTCCAAGAGTTTGCAAAGACATGGGAATTCAAACACGTCACATCAAGTCCAAGATATCCTAGAAGCAATGGTTTAGCTGAAAAAAAACGGTACAGTCGGTAAAGAAGTTGTTATCAAAGGCTTTAAGCAGTCGTCAATATCCATACCTGGCCATTCTGGGAAACCGAAATACTCCAGTGGACGTATTCGCAACTCCAGCTCAACTACTAATGAGTCGAAATTTGAGATCTACGATTCCCGCATTACCTACCCATTTCAAGCCCGAAATTCTTAATGCACAAGATTTTCAAGATAATCGTGAAAAAGTACAGCAACGGCAGAAAGTATACCATGATAAGAACGCCAACAGTCTTCCTTCACTCGAGGGGGCTTCTCAGTGCGACTCGAACCCAGTCCCCATGTGAAAAGAGTAAAAGTCAACGCTCTGCCGAAAGCCGTGGGTTTTCCCCGGGTACTCCGGTTTCCTCCCACAGGGAAAGTTGACAGGGTGGGTTAGGTAAAAAGGGCCCACAGTAATTGGCACATGCTGTTGTGGTGACCCTGCCCTAGTTGGCAAAGCTAAATAAATAAATAAATAAAATAAAAAGGTGAACAAGTTCGAATGAGAGACGGGAAGAGTTGGAAACCTGTAACGGTAACGAAGACTGCCAGCGAACCACGTAGTTATATCATGCAAAATCCTGAAGGACGAAAATATCGAAGAAATCGAAGTCAAGTTGAACAATCAAAGTAGTTGGCAACTTAAAGATAGAGAAGAAGAAAATGAGGTAACAGTAGGCTTACGTAATGAAACGGACAGTTTAAGTTCAAGTCACAAAAAGGTTGGACAATCGGAAGAACTGAGTAAATCTTATATAACTAGAAGTGGTCGTGTATCGAAACCACCGCAAAGACTATCTATAGTTAGTAACGTACTGTTTTCAAGTAGAGTAATTTGAACATTTGAACATCAGTTCAATATAGTACTTCGAACATTTGAACATTTTTTAAAAGACTGAAAATATACAAAAAATATTATGTAGCTAGATTTAAATAATTAGCTTAAAAAGAGAATTGTAGTATATTCAAATTAATTAGATTGTTAATTATCATTATTTCTTTGTGGGTGTATTTAAATCATCACGACAATAAAGTCGGTTGTTGTTTGTAAGTCAGCGTATGGGGTCACAACATAACATTACAAAAGATATAATAAATTCCCAAAGCTGTAACAACGCACGTTTTACAACAAAAGATCTGATTTCTATAAAGGGTACTTTTTTGGGGACACCCTGTAAATGTAGTTTACTTGTTTAGAAATTATTGTCGATCATTTGAATATGCTCGCCTTTGCAAATCCCACATAGTGCGTCTTTCACAGCAATGGAGTAGCCTATATGCTTTGTTTCGATATGCTACATGCATGCTATCTCCTTAGGAATTTTTGATCATTCAATTTCTAATGCTTTGATCGTTTCCTATGATTCACTTCTTTAACTATATGACATATGCGAATATGTGCAGGGTTTGGTCTTTTGTACAACCTAACCGAACAACTAAACCATGACATGGCAGGCAAGGGAGTTATAGTTTCATTATTCCAGTTGATCATAACAAGTTGTTTTGCAGATCTAGCACGCACTGTTGCCACAATGTAGTTTACTCTTTACCATGGGACGGCATGCATGTTCGATATGGCATGGTTGACAAAATCAATCGGTCAAAATAACTCATTGATAACCTGTGGCATAGTGTCAATTCAGTTAATCAATCGTAGAGTTTGAAAGTTTATGTATAAATATTATGGTGGTAATCGAACGTACTACCTTTTGAATACTAGCCCAATGAATACTTTTGAATACTCTGCCAACTGAGAGCTACGTAAACATGGTCAGGTCGGTTTGAGTACTATGTGATATTTCGGAACGGAGTCTAGTTCCTTCGGTATCATTGCAATCTAGTAATCATGATTTTTTTTCTGTGTTGGTGTTATGTACTCAGGTGAATATGTTTATAACACCAACACAAAAAAATCATAATTACTAGATTGCAATGATACCGAAGGAACTATAGACTCCGTTCCGAAATATCACATACTCGAACCGACCTGGCCACGTTGCTCAGTTGGCAGAGCATTGGCCGGGCTAGTATTCCAAAAGCAGTACGTTCGATTCCCACCGTGGCCAGGCATATTTTTCAGCTTGCTCGGTGTGGATATACACTCAGAGTAACATCACAAACATCAAAGTTTTGTCTGTTTCGTCTGCTTTGAACGACGATTTTCTCAATTTTCCTTCATCTTTTTAACTAATTTATATTCAAGGTGATTATTAAAAAATAATAATCACCTCGGTACATGAAAGAAAACCGACTCAATCAAGAATTAAATCTGCACAACTGAATACAAGTCCTTCAATGCTATGTCCTTCAGTGCAGGTCAACTATTGACATTTTACTTTTCCAATTGATCCAATGGGCAGTTATATGTTCAATGGACATTTCACTTGTGCATGCAATGGAGCCAATGAACAGGCCTATGTCCGATGAACATTTTACTTGTTCAATGGATCCAATCAGGGCAGTCATATGTCCAATCGACATTATATTTCACTTGGCCAATGGAGCCCATAGACAGTCCTATCATTCCTATGTCCGATGAACATATGTTGAAATGTCGAATGGGCTTTTCACTTGTCCAATGGATGACTAATGTAGCCAATGAATCTCATATGACCATTGAACATTCCATTTGTCCAATGGATCCAACGGACAGTCATATGTCCAATGGATATTTCATTTGTCTATTGGCTCTAGAGTCATACTGTATGTCCAATCGACATCATTTCACTTTTACCATGGATCCAATGGACAGTCCTATGTCCAATGGACATTTTACTTGTCCAATGGAGCCAATGGACAGTCCAATACCCCATGGACATTAATTTCACTTGTCTAATGGATTCAATGGACAGTCATATGTCGATATAATGGTTATTTTACTTGTCTATAATGGATAAAGAATCATATGGTCAATGGAAATTTCACTTTTACAATGGGTCCAATGGACATACCTATACCTACAAAGTGGTAGATTTGCACTAGTTGGGCAAATACAATGTTATTTTACTTGCCCAATGGATCAAGAGTCATATGGTCAATAAAATTTCACTTTTACAATGGATCCAATGGACATACCTACCTACAAAGTGGCAGATTTGCACTGGATGGGTAAATACAATGTAAGAGTGTGCTTATATTCAACAACCATAAATTGAAGAAACATTAAGTACCGTACCTGCGCCAAAATAACTCTGGATTTACGCAAATCCACTTTTCCCACATCAATCTTAAATATTCCAGCTGTAAGCGCGTAATTTCCTAAGTCACTAAAGTATATATGACCAAATGGATTCCATGTGTCGGGACATCCTATTATGTCACTCGTTTTATTTGTATACGCCAGAGCCAAGTTTCCAATTGATTTCAAAATATTTCCGTCCTCTGTGATAGCCAAACTATTACCCAGGTCAAGCAAGAGGGTTTTCTTTTCATAGTCGTAAACAAAAGGAGAAAACCAAAAATTCGGAGGATCATTATTTGGTTTAAGCATACGACCAAATGTGAAATAAGGCGGCGAATCGTGACCTGAAATGCCTATGGAACCAACCATTCTTGCGTAAGTGAAATTAGCTGAGGTATCAAAAGAATCGTACATGTCAGTGTTAAAACGGATTGATAATTCTTTTTTGTCACTAAAATTCAAATGTTCCTTTAAGTGTTGCATTATCGGCGAAGCCCCGATTCTTGACCCAAACTGAACATTTGTAAGAACACTTTGATATGCAACTCCAAAGATTGCCATACTAAAGACATTAACTTTCATTTTTGACCACATATATTGAAATCCAACGCGCTGAAAATCCCCTTTAAAAAAGTCTTTAACTTGCATTGACCACCCATAAATTTGGGTCGACGATTGGAAATCTACATCATAGTCAACCAGCTTTGCACTTGCGCCGAAATTACCATCTGTGTTTTAGAAAGAACAGAATCAACAGATTATAATTTTTTCCTTGGTAAAGAACTAATTCAACCCAATCGTTGCGAATGTGCCAATTTCAAGCACATATAATTGATTCAAAAAGTGAGGCAATTAATTATCTTGTGGATTGTATGATTGCGCACTTCCTTCGTTTTTTTTTCAACTGACTTAATTGTGGGAACAGAAACATACGATTTAAGACCAATCTCGTTCCCCGACCATGCTCGTTCGCAGGTTAAGGGTGGGCATATATAGCTCTGGAGAAATCGAATTGATTCAGGCCGGTGATTGGCTAGCGGCAGATAGTACGTTGGATTTCCAACGTGAGTACTACGCATGCTCAGCAATTGTTGCAAAATATAAACAAAGTATTTGGAATTTCTCGTCGAAAATTTGATACTTTTTACACTGAAATCGATTGAAAACAACTAAAAATTCTGGGGGAAATATGTGGGAAGCCTCGCAGTGCCTCGAAAGGCTATTTCCAATTGGATTGGGGTTTTCTAAAGAACGAAGCAATTCATTGTTATAAACACAAAAGCAATTGTCAAATCGAGCCAATGAAAATCACTCTTCCGAGCCACTGCGAGGCTACCCAAATATGTACGAAAGCTTCGGATTGATAGGGATACAACTACCTGAAAAATACAAGGAGGACTTCGACGTTTCGAGCGAATTGGCGCGCTAAGGCGCTTCGACTTGTATTGTTAGCGTTTGTATACATCGTTCTTGACCTTTACTTAACAAATATAAAACACTTTCCGTGTTGATATACAGTTATGATGAGAAATTCTAAATACTTTGTTTTATATATTTTGTAACAACTGCCGAGCATGCGTAAAACTCACGTTGGAAATCCAACGTGAATCAATTTGATTTCTTCAGAGCTATGCCCACCCTTAACCGGCGAACGGGCATGCTCGGGGAACGAGATTGATTTAAGACCAAATCGGAAACGTTGCGAAAAATGCAACTCAGGTCCTCCGGCAAAAACCAAACTATGCCTCTGCAATTGTTGCCGTGTTCTCAATACTAAGCTACGGAGAACGTTGCTTGTTGCATGGAATAGGGGAAAGTTCACTTCATTATCTCTTGGAAACGGAATTACAGCTCACCGAAGGATAGCGAATGCCGCTCCTTGGGTCTTGACTTTTCCTCAAGTTCTGAGAACACTTACCTTCAAGTAATTTGTTGTTAAGCGCGTCATCGCTTTCCAAAGAAGTGCAAACTTCGTTTGCATAACAAACTCTTGTAATTCGTGTGTCCACCAGTCGCCATGTTGCACTTCCGGTTGGATTCCATTCCTCAGTTTTCCCGGGAAAGTTATACGTGTCAAAATTATCTGGATTATTATTTATGGTTGACGGATCAGCTTGGAATCTTCCAGCAAAATGAATGCGAGGGAAATGAATATAGGATTGGTGTTCTGCAACAAAAAAAACACGGCAACATGTTGTAAAACACTTGCACTGAACCGGTACCACTTGGCCACTGACTTCTCACTGGATAGTCTCCTACGCATACCTACTTAGCGGGCTGAGCCCTCACGTAAGGTATGCTTACTTTGGCCAAGAATTCCTTTCCTCAAAATTAACCAATCACAGCCTTACCCACGAAAATTGTGGGGCTTGACCTTGACCTTGAGGCTTGGGTCGTCAAAAGTTTCAAAACATTTAATCTTGAACAATGAACAATGAACATTTCATATCTTCATTTGTACCTATTCATATCTCAAACCGATTATCTGCGAGTGCTGAGAGATATTTGTTGCTGCCGAAGGCAGCACACTATTCTTAACATGAAGTATTGCGTTTACGTGTGCCCAGTCTCTTTGGCCGAGTTATGTATAGCCGAACGACAACTCGATTTTGTTGACGGATGTACGGATTTTCAGTTTATGAAGTTTTTTGACGTCACAGAAATTTTAAAAAATAACACTCCAGATCGCGATTTGACTTTCCGAATACCCCGCGGGGTTCAGACTCACGAACACCACCATGAACGATTACAATTTGTAAACATGTGCCTCGTTGCCTGTTGCAATTTGCAAATTTATGTCTGGCTGTTAAAATATCGAAATATTTTTCTTGCATCTGGCCGTTTATCGAAAATATTTTTCAAGGTAAGATGAAAGTTTGATCACAAATAACAATGTGTTTTGGTCGAATGAATCAACTGTATTTTTATTAAATTTTAATTTAGCAATTAGGTGCCATACAAGTATACAACTCTTCATATATTAATACTGTAAAACAAGTGGAGTAAAAAATCTGTTTGAGCTTGATAGAACATCGTACATCAAGTATAAATAATCACAGTGATAGTGTATTATAATATTGTTATTATGGGAATATCAAATGAGCAGTATCGTGCCCGCATTGGAACACATAAATATGTATACAAATGAAAAAATATCTGACTTGTAGAAAGATATTCCTATAGCAACCCAGTGTGGATTGTTGTCTGCACATATTAACTTACCAGCAGTTACATGTAATAACATGTCAACCGACATTTGTCAAAAGGTATGACGGTCTGTACAAATACATCTCTGAGATGTATGTCTATTGTTACTTGTTAGCATATATTCACCTGGCTGTGTCACTACAGTTCAGGGTATACTATATTTTTTTATAATGCTCACAATTTCTTGTATTATATAGTTTTGCAGTTCTGACTGAGTGCAATCTTGATCATTACAAATGAATGATGTCATCAGAAACTGACAAATGAAACAAAACTGTCAACAAACAGATTTTGTCTCCCCATCAGGCATTGCCGCATCAGCAGATTGTTCAGTTGTTTTGCAATTTAGGGATCAGGGTCGTAGCAACAATAATTTGTAAACTAGCAATAATTACCCCAGACTAATCAGCCCTCCAATATAAAATTGCTTCCAATGGTAGTGTGGATAGCTTTGAAGGTAACCTGAGATCAGGCTCTATTTTACAAATATACCCTGACACAAACCTTAATCCGATAGTTTTCCACCTATTTGCAGCAAAGTTTATATTTATTATCCAATCAAAATGTCGTAGGAGAAATTTAAATTTCACACAAGGACAACAACAATCTAATTATAATCGTGTCACTATATACAACAATAATATAATCTCATTATCACCAACCAACCAAATGACTGATTAAAAAATCTTTTTGTCTCATAGACCAATCAGATTTGCACCCGAAATACGATTGTAAGGCATGATATTTTGTTAAGGTTTGTAGTTATTTGTATAATTTATTAGCACATGGTTTGTGTCAGCGTATATTTGTAAAATAGAGCCTGTTCTCAGGTTACGTTCTAAGCTAATCGCAGGCCTATTTATTCATTTCTAGGCCTGATTGCAGATTACTTTGAAGGTGCCATTAAAATGATAATTAAGGCAAAAACTGACTTAATATTTCTATAAATGAAATTCTTATTAAATTCTACATGTCCAATGACTCATTCAAGTATTATTATTGTTTATATATAATATGATGTTGTACCGTATTCAGTGGCAAGCTAGCTGCCATGGCAACTGGTCATGCCACACCTATAAACCTTGCACTATTTGAATAATGCAATCATTAAAAACTTGCATACTATTTCGTGACCTGTTGCTATGGCCAGCTTCACCACGAACAGTATTATAATTATACATATACAAATGAAAATCAAGAACTTATGAGCGTTGAAGGTATTCATATAAAACTGTCCATGCCAAGAAAGTAGAATTAGAATATCTAGCTGACCTTCGACCTTGTGCAAGGTGTTTGGTATTCAAATTGCATTTTTCCTACTTCCTGAACATGCGGCTTAAGGGCTGTTTACACGATGGAAGGTGGGATGATTTTTGAAGTCACCAGGTTAAACAAAAGTTCAAAAGCTTGTTTTAACAGTACAGAACTTAGATATTGTCGAGAAGATCTTGTAGTTCAAGAAGATTATTATTGCTGCTTAAACAACCTTTCGTTTACAGTTACCAATATAAATCTATCTCTAGAAAATAATAACGTTTTTTGCAGAATTGTGCACCGTGACTTATTCCAATACATCGAAGATTCGAAATCATCCCGCCACATATCTCGTCGTGGCAAAGCGGGATCGTAAAAACAGCCCGTTATTCAGCAAATAGCGCATGCTGACTTTGATCTCTTGGGCTTGGGGTGAGGCAGCACTTTCCTTGCGAGAGTAACTTCTAGTTTTAATATATTGCTGCTAGATTTCATTACAGCACTGTTAGATCAATTGATTGAACAGTTTAGTCATGTTTAAAATGTTGTTGATGTCATGCAGATTTTGGTGCTTTTACGCTGCTTGTGTTGTCTGTTGCC